TATTATAATAAATTTTTATATGGGTCTGTATTATATCACTAACAATTATTTCAAAGACACTACATTTTACTGACAATTATTCACCAGCAAGTTCATTTTATCAACAGTCTATTTCACCAAAGCTTATAGTTTCTTTTTATAAATTTACTCTAATTCTATCTGATTCTAACAATAATAGCCAGAATTACTTTGTCTGTAAAATGAACTTCAGTGAAATAAGCTATAGATAAAATGAACTTGTTAGTGAATAATTGTTGGTGAATGTGGTGTCTATGAAGCAGATCTCATAACTATATGGAAATTTCATAAGAAAACATATAAAAAAGTATACTACATATCATGTTGTATGGAATTTGCACCTTCTTACATGTTAAAGCATTTTTCTTGTACTTTTTCTTCATACTCTGTATTAGTGATGTGCTGTGTACAGTACTATGTGTACAGTACTGTATGTGCTGTACTCTAAAATGTTTGCCGATCACTTGTTCTAGCCAATCAGATACCTGGAAAGAACTATATGTACAGTATGTACGTACGTACTATATGCTAAAATTTTTCAGGTATCATATAAATGGCACATCACTACTCTGTATACTCAATAATATCACATGCTCGTATTTAACCATAAACCCCATGCACTATTTTTTATGAGATATAATTTGGATAAGAATATTATCGAAAATATTTTGGCTTTCTAAAACAAAATACAAATTCTAAATATAAATTTATAGGCATTAAATACCCTTGCTAGCTCTTATAATGATCTTAATCAATATGCTATTTCTCATAATCAATGGGCTACTTTGGATAAAATTGTTAAATTCCTTGAACCATTTAAAGACCTTACAATTAAAATGTTATCTTATAGCTTCCTGGATTATTCCTCTTTTCAACATTATCCTTAACCATGTCGAAGATGTGGCTTCAAATGAAAAAAACAAGAGTTAGTTATTAAATAAATTTTTGGCTTTAGATTTATTAATTAAATAATCTCAATTTTAGAAACATCACTCTACATGGCGGCTATAGTGGCAAGAGAAAAACTTATTCAATACTACTTTAAAACAAATGCAACTATAATGTTGTATACTGCTTTAGATCCGAGAAGAAAATTTAATTATTTTGTTAAGAAAGAATTTCTAGAAGCTGAAATTAATGAAGCAAAGACC